GTCACTGTATGACGGTCTTTGGGGAACTGAGTGGAAAGGTAGTTTCTCCTACAACGATCCAAGACCAGAAGTGTCTGTGCTTGATAGCATCCCAATTATAACTCCCAACAACATTCGGGAGCGAGTTATGCGCATTAACGCTAAGAAAGCTGTGGGACCAAGTGGTGTAAGAAAAGCAGATCTCACCAGGCTCAAAGGGACGGAAGCCGTGTTGGCCCGTCTCTTTAATTTAATTGTCTGGTCCGGGTACTTTCCAAAGTCCTGGAGGGTCTGCTCAACAACTCTTATACCCAAGAGAGGCAAAGATTGCTCCAAGGCGGAGAACTGGCGCCCAATTACGATTGGATCGCTCTTGGCAAGACTCTTTTCCGGAATCATTGAGAAAGGATTCCGGAATTGCATAACTATCAACAAACGCCAAAAGGCTTCACCCTTGAAAATGGCTGTTTTAATAACATTTTCGCACTTAGCGAAATTATAAAGTTTGCCAAGACACATAAAGGAGCGTCATGTGCCGTATTAGACATATCTAAAGCGTTGACATGATCCCACATGCAGCAATCAAAGACGCTTTGACAAGACTAGGATTACCCAATCACACAAGAGAACTGGTAATGTCCATGCACGAAAACATCTACACCGAGATCAAATCGGGGAATGATAAGATTGCAGTTAACATTAAACGAGGGGTTAAGCAGGGTGACCCGCTTTCCCCGCTGTTGTTTAACTGTGTCTTGGACCCCCTTCTCGAACAACTTGAGAGCACGGGAGAAGGAATCAGTATTGGTTCCCAGAGCGTCTCTGTTCTGGCTTTCGCTGACGATCTTGTGGTTTTCGGTAGAACACCGCAGGATCTTCAGAAAAAGCTGAACATGACCTCCCAATTTTTAAGTGATCTTGGTATGCATGTTGCGGTTGAAAAATGCAGCAGTTTCCAGATATCGGTTCGAGGGAAGTCATGGATACTTCTGGACCCTAAAGTTGAGATAAGCGGTAAAATGCTTCCTCAATGTGGTCCGGATGGGCACTTTGACTACCTTGGACTGAGATTCTCACCCTGGAAAGGGTTTGAACACAAAAAAGTAGTGGGCGACCTCCATGGTTGTCTCCCTAACATCAAGAAACTGAGACTTAAGCCCACTCAGAAACTGGAACTGCTTAAGCGATTTATCATCCCGCACTATTTGTACCGGCTAACCGTAGACCCACCATCTCAAGGCGACCTACAAGGGTTAGACAAGGCACTTCGCAACTTTACGAGGGAAATTTTCCACCTCCCTCATTCTACTAGCTCTGCCTTCCTGCATACCTCCCCAGGAAATGGAGGACTCGGCCTACCTCGATTGGAAAGAGTTGCTTTTTACTCTTTCCTAAAATCAATGGCTAGATGTCGAGATTCTGGAGACCCAGTATTAGAAGCACTATGGGAGCAGAGCAATGTAAGCAATAGAGTTGCTGAAATGGCACATCGCGCAAATATTAGAGGCCCGCTCAACATAAAGGCCATTGAAAGCGCGAAGCGAAGAGCTGTCGAGGACGAGTTCCGAAGATGGGCGAGTTGCGCGTCCCAGGGCATGGGAGCTACAATGTTCCGAAAGGACACTATTGGAAACTCCTGGCTCTGGAAGCCCCACCTTCTCAAAGGTAACTCTCGCTATATCGATGCTCTTCGACTTCGCAGCAACACATTTGGTTGTCGAGCAGCACTTGCTCGCGCAACACCAATGAGCGACATAACATGCCGACGATGCCATTCTGCCAATGAGACCCTTGGACATGTACTAGGCCAGTGTACATTCGTAAAGCCGCAGAGAATTCACAGACACAACGAAATCGTGTCTCTATGTCGAAGTGAATTTATCGATAAACACCCTGCTGGGCGTTATATGATTGAATCATCATTTACAGTTGATGGAAAACGGTTAAAGCCCGACCTCATCCTATGGGATGCTGAGGAATCATATATCGTCGACGTTACAGTCAGACTTGAGCAGGGAAATTCTCTCGGAAAAGCGAATATGGAGAAAATCCTTAAATATGAGTGCCTCTACCCAGAGGTACTCAATATCACCGGAGCAACACACTGTCGGGTTCTCCCGATAGTTGTGGGATCCCGTGGTTCCCTACCCCCCAAAACCCTATCAAACTTATCCCTTCTCTCCAAACGCCCCAAACACACTGGCTTAACATCAGTACTGGTTGCATTAAGAACATCAATAGAAATGAGCAATAGGTTTTTAGACGGCTAAGTGCAAGATACCAATAGTCACCATGCAAATAACAATGAATATGATTTTTCCTAAAACGATATTAATTCTAACTGCCGGGCGGTGAACTTCCAAAGCGTACCCGTATGTGTCGGAGCTACGGGTTTCTTTAAATTTTTATTCTTACACTAAACGCAGAGGAAGCAATCACGGGAGGCCCATTGTGTTGTCTGTGTTGTCCACTTTTATGTTATGTGTTATAGCCCTTCTGGCTTTTGTGAGGCATTTGACAA